AGTTCCCAACTTCCATCCCTTACAAGCTTCTCTTTTCAGATTCAGGAAGTCCTTGAGGTTGCCAGTGAGCCAGCCAAGGGGATCTTTCATTGCTACCTTTCCTATGGGCTGGAATGGACCTCCTTTGTGCTCTTAGGATCATGTCCTTAAGAAGTGACCACTCATCACAGATTTCCCTCCCTGTCAGATCGTGGTCTCTCAGGGCCTCAACAACCAACTGCCTGAGCTTGTGAAAGTTAGCTTTCCTAAAGTCAAGGATTTCTTTATTGCTAACTGATTTGCCAACTTTGTAATGGGTAGAGAAAGTGATCAACTCATGATCATTATCACTGAGCTTCCCTTCGATCCTCAGGTCACTGACTAGATCATCGCCTTTGGCCAGTACCAGATCCAGCAGCATCTTACCTCTAGTCAGCCTATAGATTTCTTGAGTCAAATAGAGCTTGTCAGTGCAAGTGAGGAAGCTTCACAACTGATCAGATTTGGCTGAATGCTCTTTACTTGAGATGTCAGGGTGGTTGAAGTTGCCTACGAAGACCATGCACTGAGAGCATGCAGCCTCTGCCAGTTCCCTAGTGAATTCATGGTCAAGCTCTTCCTCCTGGATAGGAGGTCTGTAATAGACTCCTACAGTTATATCCCCTTCACTATGTTCCCCTGTATTCTAACCCACAGGATCTCAAGTCACCCTCCTTGGGTGCCAATCTCTGGTTGCAGGGAAGTGTACTGCTTCTTCACATAGACAACTATACCTCTGCACTTCCTTGCAACATGATCTCTCCTGTACAAGGTATAGTCATCAATACCTGTGGTCCAGAAATAGGTGGAGTCCCATCAGGTCTCCATTATCCCCATGAGATCATATTCATTTTTGCTTAGCAGAAGGGCCAGTTCCTCCTGTTTGTTCTCCTTACTCCTGGCACTTGTGTACAGGTAGCTAAGCCTGCCATCAGAAGCCCTGAGCTTCCCTGTTGTCTTAGAAGAGTCCTGTCCCTGGGCTGGGTATGAGTGAGTTCCCTTGTGTTACCTGACCTGCTGATTCTGTGGTTGTCACTTCCAGGGCTTTCACTAGTGATTGTCCACCCATTCCCTGGTGATGTTAATTTAAAGCCCTGTCAACCAGGTCAGCCATTCTGGCCAAGAAGAACTTCTTTCCCATCAGAGTGAGGTGGAGGCTGTCCCTTCCCAACAAACCACTGCCTCGCTCTCTGTAGCGCGGACAGTGATTGAAGAAGTCGAAGCCTTCACGATGGCACCAATGCTGCAGTCTTCTGTTGGCTTCTTCAATACGTCTCTCCCTCCTGTGCCTGTGACCTGTAACTAGAAGGATCAAGGAGAAGACTATCCCAACCCTTTGAGCCCAGCCCCCAGAGCCCTGTAGTCACTTATGACCTGGACAGGATTGCTCTGAGCCATGTCATTTGTGCCCACCCATATAGATGAGTGGTTGGAGGGCCAGATGAGCTTAAAAATCCTCTCTTCCATGTCCCAGATACGGGGCCCTCAGAGGCCAGGGGGTCAGGGCAGCAGATCGCTCTTTCTGTCCCTCTCAGGAGGGAGTTGTCCACCATGACCACCCTGCGTCTCTTCATAGGGGTGGCAGCTAGTTGCCTCCTCTCATCCAAAGCTGGTGTTTCTGCTGATGTCTCTGCTGGTGCTGTGAGAGGTGCATACCTGTTGCTCAGTTCCAAGGGAGGAGTGACCCTAGTACTGCATGTCTTGGGACCCAAGACAACCATTTTCCAAGCATCTCCCAGGTGCAGCTCCTGGTTGATCTTCCTGTTGTCCATCTTCATGTAGTCAGGCATCCATGCTCTTCTCTCTTCATTCTTCAGGAGAAGAGCCTGAGTATAGTAGTCATCAATCTCCTGCTCATGGGCCCTGATGGCATGAAGTCTGCCTACCTGGGACTGGAGCTCAGTCACCTGAGACTCCAGGGACTTCATGAAGGAGCATATTCCACAGTTGGGGTGACTTTCCTCCCATTCCCAGTTGCTGGCAGCCATGCCAGGCAGCTCCCTACAGCCAGGGGCTACATCTGCGTGGAGGCCAGAACCATGGATTCTGTTTGGGTGGAGACCTCAGTGGTGCAAGGGCAGGGAGCACCAGCTGGGGCCAAGGTGGGAAGCCACGGTGTACACTGCATCCCCACCATTATATAGTAATAGGCTATGCTGCTACCCACAAACTGGCATAGGAACTGGCCTGTAAACTGCCTAGGGTTAATCGTTACTTCCCAGGGGTTAATCTTTACTTTCTGCTTCCTGGAGTCTTTTTTTCTTTCTCCATCTGGAGCTACAGCATCTTTTAACTTCCGTGCACCCCTACGTCACACTGGTGCGCCAGCTTTAAAGGGGCCGTGTTCAATTATTAAGTTGTGCTGTTGAAACTGTGGCACTGGCTCGTCCAGGAGAGTATAGCTGGGTCAAACTAACTCCCTGCTACATGGTGATTTAAGGGTTGTTGTTTTTTTCTTTTGCACTATCTTACTCAGATACGTTTTTTATTCCTTCCTTGTAGGCGATACAAATATTATGATAATTCTTTTGATATCCGTAGTAAAATTTGCCAAGCTTTTCATGATTAGCCTCACTAACCTACTCAGAAATACCAGCAATATGAATTTAGACAGCAATTTTTTCTGCAAAAAGAAAAACCTTCAGCCACTGTGAGGGTGGCCTGATTTAAAACTTCCTAGCTAAAGAAATAGAAAAACCCCCATATATGATATAAAGAAAACATGTATGACATTTCAGAGACAGCTTTACTACTTAATCATAACTGCTTATGAGCTGCATTTTTTTTTATAACTGCTGCCTCTTTTTCCTCTGTATCCCCCAATCAGCGAAAAAAAGAGAAAAGAAAATGTGTACGTGTGAAGACCATGATGATATTTAGTTCTGGTTCTTATACCAAGAGTTTATGCACTGACTAAACTGATTAAGAGGCATTGTCTTCCCAGGTTATATCTAGTTTTGACTGCTATACAAAATAAAAGGGAAAAACAATAAAACAATAATGTAAAACAGACTCTAGTTGTAGCCTTGATTTTTGTTTTGTTTCCCTTTTTTACAATAGTCTGAAAAACAATTGAATAAGACTTCACTTGCTGCTGCCCAAACACAAAAGCTTTTTCTCTGTCTTGCATGTGGCTGAAAACTTTGATGTGATATTAAGTAAATATTAACTTGTAAAAGTCGGGGGGAGGGGAATTATGGATCTAAGGTTCTCACAGGATTTTGTTTCAGTGGAAGTTGGTGACATTTGAAAGTGAACAGTGACTTCAAAAGCTGCACTCAGAGTCAGCTGTAAAGAGTGAATAAAATTGATCCTAGCAGACCTCCTTGCCTGGCACGCTGTGCATTTTGGAATATGTGCTAACTGATTTTAGGTCTTGGGGCTCATCAGCAGAGTGAGATTTTATTCAATTTTTAAACAAAATAAGGTGAACCAACCATGGAAATACATCTAGGATAATGAGTGACTGTTAAGCTGAGATGGATGCCTTAACTGAAACACGAGTCACACAGCCAAAGTGCTGCACCTCCTTCGGAAAGAACTGAACAGAGGACACATGTTCCACCTCTGGAGAACAAGGGAAAAAGAGGGAGTCACAGCTGTTGGAGAGCTGAGCATCCTGCTCCACCCCTTCTATTCCTCCAGTACAGTTATCAAGCAAAGCAGGGCAGGGGGAGGTTGTAGCAAGTCATTGCTACATTCTGTTCTCATTTGTCTTGATAACCAGAAAATAGATTATATATTGGGCTCTATATAAATCTCTATAGATTTAAATCTCTAAAATAGACCTTATATATTACATCATTTGTTTCAGTAGACCTCTCACAATAATAGTTTGTTCAGGGTTGAGCCCTTCCTGACCCACTCACTCCAGTTAAATCCCATAGTCTCTGGTGACTACTTTTGTTAGTGACATTGGGCACATCTACATGAGACACTACTGTGCAGTAGCATTGCTGGGCACTAACCATGACATGATGCTACTGCACAGTAGTAATGAGCTACTGCATGCTAGCTCATGGCTACTGCACAGCAGCATCAGAAAAAAACCATGTGGTGATGGTACCGCGTGGTACTTATATAAGCAAGTGCTAAATGACTGTGCAGTAACATCTGTGCAGTCCGCCGCTTGTGTAGATGTGGCCAGCATGACTAAGGTTACATAAGGTTAGTCGTGCTGTGGGGGCATCTACATGAGATGCTACATCGCCGAGTAACAAGCAACATCACCGTAGCATTGTCAGGCTTGAACCGTGACACCAACACTACTGCACAGTAGCAACAAGCTACTGCGCAGTAGTGTGGGGAAAAACCTGTGTGGCGCTGGGACTACACAGTAACGCTGGTTACTTGCTTAAACAAGTACTAAATGACTTGTAACAACTGCGCAGTCTGATGCACATGTATACATGCCCTGTGAGGCCCATCTTAAGACTATCTCAAAGAGCAAGTTCAGATTTGTGCAGTGTGATTGTATTGGCCAATAAGATAATTATAACCCTGGCTACAAGCTTCTATTGGCAGTTCGGAAAGCTCACTTGGCATGGGTGAAAATATCAGTATTTTAAGTCTCAAGACAAACAAAGATTTATCATTGTGTTGCCAACTCTTCTGCCTTTGACTACATGGAATTACATAGTAAAGCTAAAAGACTCTGCAGCTGAGGGAAAACAGTGGAATGAGACTTGCAAGACTTAAAAAAAAAGCTTGGAGATTTTACTGTGGTGGAAGTTCAAGGAAATCTTTGCTTTAAAAAAAGGAGCTATAACTGGAAAAATTAAGATGTAGTAGCAAAGGTTGAGGTTTTCTAGCAGTTACACCTCTATCTGTGAACTCTCTTTCTGAAAGCTGCTGACAGAGCTTTGGCATATGATCATCCCCTAACTGCTGATTAACATAGCACTGTTTTATATTTAACTCAGAACAGAGCAGGAGGGGTAGGGGGTGGGGTTGCACTGCTTATAAGGGCAGTACAGTAGTAACATCGCTCTTCTATGTTAGCTTCCTCTGTCTTCCTCCTCAGCTGTGCTTCTTTGCTACATTTCTTCCACTTAAAACTATATGTTATCTTTAATTAACCGAGTGCCTGGTAGCAGAAGAAATTGGAGAGACAGACAGCAAAAAAAGATACAACTACACAATTAAAATACAGAGTCTGCTGAGTTTAGTACGCAGAGACTGCTAAGGTGTTTAGTAAGCCTTTTTGAGGTTAATGCATAGCTTGGTGAGCAGACTGGAATAGAAATGGAGGGAATGGATTTTGAGGGTAAGAAGTCCAAGAGGTACTGCATGAAGAAAAAGCATGTAGTCATCATTTGTGCAGTGGTGGCTGCTGTAGGTTTAGCTGTAGGACTTGGCGTGGGATTGAGCAGACCTGAGCCCTGCCAATCTTCAGGAGGAACAGAAAAGCCAGCACAAAAGCCAACAGAATCCCCTGCGACCTCTTCCCCAGTGCAACTGGGCCACTGCCCTCCCAAAAATGATCAGACTGGAGAATGGAGACATTTCAGGCTACCGACGTACATCATCCCAGAACACTACGACTTGGAACTGAAGCCAGAGATGGCTGCAGATACTTATACAGGGACAGTCAACATCTCCATGAAGCTGGATAACCATACCAAGTACATATGGCTTCACCTTCGTAACATTGAGATCACAGCAATGCCCATGCTCCGGAGATCCTCATCGGTACTTGCGGTCCAGCCCGAGATTGCAGTGAAACAGTGTTTTCAATACCAGCCTCAAGAATATTTGGTGATTGAAGCAGAAGAATACCTAATGCCTGACACCATAACTACCACCTATATACTGACCTTGAAGTTCCAAGGCCGGCTGGATGGCTCCCTGGTTGGCTTTTACAGAACCACCTACATGGAGAACGGGACAACCAAGTAAAACTTCTTGTTTTTAAAATGTACTTGTACCTCTATTTCCACCTGCTCTCTCCTCTCATTTCTCATTCTCGTCTGTCACCAAATTGCTTAAGTTTCGGGGCTCTAGTTAAGTTTTCTGTTCCCTTAAGAAAGCTACGGCCTTAAAGACACCTAGTGAAGCCTTGGCAATGCTTACAAGGGAATTTGGGCTGGAGTTTTAAATTCAGAAAAACATTTATTGGTAATAATCTATCCTTGGTCTTTGCCAACAGCTCCTGCTGATATCACTTGCAGGGGGGAGGGGGGGCATTGCGTGGGGAGCGAGGCTTTTTTGGTGTAGTCCAGTAAATATCATGTGGCTCTGTTTTTTCCCCCCATTAACCCCTGAAGTAACAGCATTTTATGTGGCTAACTAGCACTGTGACAGCTTTCCTGACATAATGCTTCTTTGACGTTGTCAGCCGAATGAATGTCAAAACTGCAATATCCCGCCTGCAGCTTGCTTAAATTATGTGTAGCCAGGTCTGAAATTTGAAGTACTTGTGTTCCAGCTCATCCAAGTTAACTTGCCAATAGTTAAAGATGCTACAAAGGTTCAGGTACAATTAAAAAACTCAAGTGTATGTAAAGTAGTGTCTCTTTAAAAGTTCCATTAACTTTTTCCCTACCCTAAGTCTTTGCTACTTCAAAGTAGGACTTGAAAAATTCACTGGCTTATGGTAGCAAGACAGGATCCCTGAAGCCATCAATTTCTACAGCTTTTAAAACTTAAGGCTTTTGTTTGGTTGGTTGGGTTTTTTTATAAGTGACTTTTTGAGCTCCTATTATTAAAAGATACTACTGCAATCTGTCCAGGTTTGTCTCATAGCTTTCTTAAGTAGCTGCTGAATAAAAATATTATCTTCAATCAGTTTTTCACATTTGCTATTCAAAACCTCGTGGAAGGCAACCTAGCAGGCAAGGGACATGTCAGCTTCAGAAAATCAAGTCTGAGGCATTTTAAAGTGCGCAATCAAAACTGGGGAATGCTTTTGACTTGAATCTTTTGTACCTCATTTTTAAAATGAAAATAATACCACCCCTTCACTTTGAAATGTTATAAAAATAAATTCATGAGCCTGAAGTGCTTTAATACTGTAGAGAAGAGTACTATAGAAAAACCATGAGAAAATTAAAAATTCTGTCTTCATTGTCCGGGTTACATAACAGTAGACAATAAATATGGCCTAAGGTCACACTGGATAGTGAGGAGAAAATAAAATACTGTACAATTATGTAAAAGTATTTTAGCATAATGCATGCATCTTCAAGCAGACTAGTTCTGAGGCTCTGTAAGCAATCTTACTTCTCATGTTTTTTTTGCTGTTGAGTGCTTGCCTTTCCAATCTTAATGAGGTACTTTAAAATTTTTTGCACTTTTTGTGTGTAATTTCTTGTGGGTTGTGCATGACATCATATTAGTGTCCCATCAATAGGGTTGGAATCCCAGTCCTATTCTCCCCATTTAGATAGACCGAGCTTCAAATCCCTCCACTTTTCATTCCAATTAAGCCCTAATTTTGTCCTCTAAATTCTCCATGTAAATCTTTTCCCATAGTATTCACTGCCCAATCATTCCCGGTCATCACCTTCCCCCAGCTTGTTTCCTTAGTGTCTTTGTGCAGCCAGGACAACTCTTCACCACTACTTTGTTTCTCCTTTAATTGTTTTTCTCTTTCCTCTTCAAACTACTTCTGCAAAAAATTATTCATCCCACCAACACCTAGCTAAGGTTCTCTGTCTTGGTTTTTTGCTCCATCTCTGACCTTGGTCCAGTTTCATTGCCAAGCAGTCCCAGGTCTCCCCACATAACCCAGCTTCTTGCCTGATCTCAGCATCTATCTGCTGCTTTTCTTCATAGTTCTTAATACCACTCTTTTCCCCCCAAATGGTCCCAGTATCCTCCTCCCTTCCTCTCAATCCCAATCTCTTTGTCCAGACATCTCCCATCCTTTTTCACCCCACTGCCCACCCCCCACCAAAATCTCCCACTTTCTATCTGCTGCCTACTAATCGTCAGTCCCAGACCTTTAGGCTTTTGCCAGTCTCCCCCCTTGATGCTTCCTCCCTTAGTTCAGCTCTTATCACATCTGTATTGGAATCAGGCAGCTTCTTTATCTAACCTACCAGAGAGCAGCAGAGGACAGGAGAGGCAGGCTCCCTCTTCTTAAGTCAGTTACCCAGCCCAAGATTCAACCCAGAACTGCCATTGCAGGGAAAGCCCTAATCAGCCTAATTTTTCAGTATGCTCATTGTAGAAGGGATCTTCACAGACTTTAGCTAGCAAGATCCAGCAAGTTTCTACTGAGCATATGCAAACTCCTGATTTTAAAAGTCTTAAAACTTGGCTAACTGTGGGTGAAATATTCATGGATATGGTAAAAGGTGCAGGTCACTCCCTAGCCAAATTTCAAGTTCTAAGTCAGTGCTACAAAGTATAGGGAGTGTTAAAGCTTCTCAAAGGAAAGTTTGCCAGATATTTTTTTTCAACTTGGGAAAACAATGTGTTTTTTCCTTTGCCTTGTCCTTGGAAACAGATGATGTTTACTGAGATTTTTCAAGCAAGTTAGCCTGAGGCAGAAATGGCTAAAATTTGGCAAGTTATAAACAAGTGAAAACTGGATCTTACAATAGAAAGAGTAAGGCAACCTTAATGAGAAAAGATGTTGTCAGCCTAGGCTGTGATATAAGATCAAGCCAGAAGGAGTTAGGGAAAGTCCTCTTCCTTCCTGAATAGCATCAGAACCTGTGGGTCCTGGCAGCTAACAACAGAGAGGAAGAGTGGCAGGGAGGAGGTCATGGCCCTGAAAGCTGGCTTTTCAACACCAAGCAGGTCCCCAGCTGTCTTCCTCCCAGGACAAAGGACTGCCTAATCATTGCTGCAGTGCCTTTTCTTTAATCAGTTGGTAAAGACTGATTAAGCTGTCAGTAGAGGTGAATCTACTGCTGTGCTCTGTACAGAGCCTGATCTGGTGAACATGTCTAAAAGACCAGCCTCCCCCTCACTCCCCCCTCCCCCGCCTGCCAAAAAGGGATTTAGGTGGAAGAATGCCCGTTTCAAAAATCCCATTCTGGCTGAAGCAAGATTGAAGCCCTCTGGGTATGTCCAGAAGCAGAATCTTAGGTGCACAGGAACTCCAGTATTGAAATCTTAAGCACTTACAGACTTCAGGCATTTCCAGAGTTAGGTGGCAACTGAGCAGAAGTTTGGAGGGTGCTGGAGACTGTCAGTTTACCCTGCAGATGTAGTCTAAGAGCTACAAGCAAATGTCAGCCAAGAGTGGACAGAATTTTCACTCTTCAGCTGCTATCAAGAACTAGGGTGGCTATCACAGAGGACAGTCCAGTTGTCCTCTGTCCTCTATTGATACAAAACTGGACGCCTTTATGTCCTCTATTTTTCTATTGACGAGAACAGTAGAGGACATAAAGGCATTGGGTTTCGTATCAATAGAAGACAGAGTAGCAGAAAACCAGAATGTCCTCTATGATGCCCCCCACCCCCATCAAGAACTGTGCCTGTTACTTTTTCCTTCACTTTGCTGGTAAAACAAATAGGACTTTGGGTGTGTGTAAAACATTTCTTGCCTTTGGGTGTGCATAAACTCAATCCTGATTCAGACCTGGATTTCCTTTCACACAAGTATGAAGTTCCACATGAGGTGTCAGTAGAAGGGTGCAGACTGTGCCCAAATTGGCACCTTTTAACTGGTATTGATGATTTTGTTGGATAGAAGAGATGTCATATGCTGGTATTTTTCCATTCTCTGCTTGAATTTTCTGTCTTCAAAAGAATGCCAAAGCCTGCAGAACCCTCCACCCCCCAGATTTCACCATGACTTTATGTCTCTTCCTGAAAGGGCAACATTTTCTTGGGGAAAAGATTAATCTATGTTTGGAGGGGAAAAAATACAAAAATCCTTACTTACCTCAGGGAAAGAATTTCTTTTTTCTATTTTTTGCCCCTTTCCACTGAAAATCTGAGTGCGCTGGCAAAAAAATGGTAATTTATCATAGCTCTAAATGTATCACTGTTTTACTTTGGGAACAACAGCTGGATGCAGTCATAACCGGATCTCCTTTTAATATTACTGGTATATGAACCCCGGTGTCACTTCTGGTTCACATTTTAAGGGCCTAGAACTTAATAGAAACTGCAGAGTCTCTAGGACAGTTTTATTCCGAAACTCTAAGATATATTTTTAGAAAGAAAATTACATTAATTTTTCTCCCTATTGCACATGGCCTCTGAATCAACCCCCAGGAATGGCGGCAGTGAGACAATGCCCCACTGATATCTGGCAACCCATCACAAATCTATGAGGATAGATAGCTTATCACCTTGTAAATCAACATAGGGATTCTCATGTTATCAGTCTTTAGGAACAAGGATATAAAAGTGTCAAAATCTACAGCAACTGTTTGAAAAGCAAGAGCTGTAAAGGTTGGCCCTGGGGATTAAAGTTAACTCAATTGTAAAATACCTTCTAAATCCCAGAAAGAGGAGAAAGGGACATCACACAACATACAAGGCAGGAGAAACTCCATTAAGCCTAAGTTATTGTAGCGTGAATGTTCATTACCTTTCCTGCTCCAAGCACATGAATTTAAGGCTTTCGAGGGACCCTCCAATTGAACGTGAGCAGTAAAAACCAAGACATATTACCTCCATCAGGCTTCTAGATGAACCTTGCCACTACATGTTCTTAATGGCCACAGTAGTATTTAACTATCAAAAGGAGAAGCCAAGGGCAGGAGAACCATTGAGAAATTGGCTGTCAAGTGCTGCTGTAGTGCTGCTATAATTTATGATGCATACTTTTAATTACTTTAAAAAAAAAAAAGGAAAATTACCCTGCTACAGCTTGAGCAGCTGCAGAAATTCTGTCAGAAAAGCTCCAACGTTCCAAATTAACAGCAGAGATACCTGGGATGCATCCCTCGATCAATCAAAACAGAGAACATCTCCATCACTGAACAGTTGTACTGATGGCTGCCGGGGGGGGGGGGGGGGGGGCACTT